AAAAAACATAATCGGCTATTCAATTTCTAGTGTACTTCCACCCTTGGAAATAACTCACATTTCACAAGATATAGTAAGCCTGAGAACTATAGTTGAATGGAAATTGTATTTTGACTTTGGCAAAACAAACACAATTGCTGTCTGTATTTAAAAAATCCACAACGCAGTGCTACGCTACGCTAATGCTTAGGAACAGTTCTTTCTCAGAGGAAATTCAAGGAAACATGGGTTTGCAGAAACAGTTTTGCTCCTCCCAAGTCCTCCTTTGATGAAATTCATCATAGAGAAGTCACACTGCTTACCTTTACCCACTGAAAAAAACTCTGCAGTTTGAGCAGTCTTTGGATACAGAATGGAAGACGGTTATTTTATGTGTAATCAAAGAACCTCGAATACTTGGGAGATAAGTGTAATGTGTAGGCAAATGACGACTGAACATTTATCTTTGCAAGACAATAAATTGCTTTCTCAACGTTAAGAAATTCTGGGGGGAAAAAAAAGGATACTTCTGTTTTTCAGACAAAAATATTTTCCTCCTAGTTGATTATTTTTTGTGCTAAGTCACAATGCCATCTGCATCACTGGGGTTGGAGGAATGAAGACCAAAGTGGGAAGGGGGAATCATCAACTCCTTGTAAATGAACTGAAGGAAAATGTTGTTTTATAATACAAAAATTTAAATAGAAAAAAAAATGGCTTGAGATGTGCAAACATGAGGTGTAGTAGCTTAGTTCTAAAAATGATTGACAATGTCAGCAGTAACACTATGGGGTAATTAAGGACTGCATCATTTTCCAGGTACATAATTTGGGCTCTGGAGGTTGCCACTAGTTGATCATCTCAGTATCATCATTTGTACCTCTGCAAAAACAAGTGAATATACTGACCACAGAAATGCAAGCTTTAGAGCATTTTAGTTTTCTACTAAATATTTAAAATGATTGCTTCCAATTGGAGAATGAAAATAGACCAAAATTGGCTGCTCTTGTGTAAGTTGCAAAAATCAAAGGTAAAAAGGTTGTTAGGTTAATCTTTTGAGGGTCAGAGAAGGCTTTAATGACTTTGTATAGAATTATGCATGGCAAGGCTCTTACCACAAAGCATTTCATATCATGACATAAATAAATGCTCTGAGTAATATATGTTGGGAAATAACCAAGAGTCATAAACACTCTTCTCATAGTCCTCTGCTCCTCCAGTAAATGACAGTAACACAACATCAATTTTTCCAGAGATCTACTTTCCATGCTCACATTTCCATCAATATCAGTGCACACATTTCAGTAAGACATCTGTAGCCAAGTATTTCAAAATATTTGCTAGCTATTGCAAGGACCAAAGCTAGAATGCACATGGCCAAAGCAAATTTCAGAGGAAAAACTGGCCGTGGAACAATATATAACTTCTGCTTCTCACTTTTGGGAAAAGTGGGTAAACACAATTTAACATTAATCCCACTTTGTGTTTCAGCATGGAAGAAAGTGGATTCACACAGTAGCTTGTTTATCACATCGCATTTCTTCTCTTTCAGTTGGAAGTCACTGGTATGTAAAATGAGGTTTATAACAATTTAGGTAGGTTTATAGTATATTAATATGTAAGAGAAAATGTAAGGTTTTATTTTTTAAAGTAAGGATCACCAGATATTTTTTGGTATGCATTCCATGCTGCTAGTCTGCCACCACAGCAGAACATCTCCATCTCTACCGAAAAATAGTATAACAATGATCAGACACTTTTGAGAAAAAACAACTCCCTCTGCTGAGAAATTCCATCCTACAGTGAAAACTCCTTCCTTCTAATATACTTCACATAGGGTTATGTGAAGTTAATTATGAGGAAGCACATATTAGAATTGTTTTCTCTGTTTCAAGAAAATTTTGGGCAGGAAAGGCTCCAGTTTCCCTGCTTGTCAGTTAGGCTGCTTATATTTTCACGTCTTTGTCAAAGGAGAGTCTCAAAATCCCCACGGAAAAACAGTACTGAAATATAAGCCTTTCTTCCTTGCTTATCTCCTCAATAGTCAATACTACTAGTCCTAAGCAGAGAGAGGATTGACCAAAATAGCATCTAAGAGAGAAGGTACATTTTTGCGGGGTCTTTCTCCCTTTGCCGATTGCTCATGTCACTTTCTCATCTTCCTGTGCCAGAGGTGTGTGGGTTCCTAGGAAAACGGACCCCAAAATTGCTGTCTCATCCTTAGATACAGCTGCATACTTCAGTATATTCAGGAACAGAAATTTGACTGTTGAAAGAATCCTCTTGAAGGCATCAGGACATCTCAGCCTGAAATGCAGCATTAAAGGTCTGGGAAGGGGAAGAGAGAAAGAGGATTGGGGCTGTTGATTAAAGTATCTTCAGCTATGAACAACCGGTTCTCTTATTTCTGCCCACAAGTCATGAAAACGGTATCAACAAGCACAGACCAATTTCTGTACCTCGTTAGTGGTGTTAGTACCTTGGGCATCCTGTGGATATTTTGGTTCTGATGCATGTAAAAGTAAGGACACGCCTGCCAGTTAACAGAGATTATACTTACGTAAAATACCTTTACCTGATCTTTCCAAATATTATATGGAAAATTCTCATTACTCACCCTGCCAAAAGAATAGCCTGACGTGAAACTTGACTACTTGGATGTACTGTTGCTCACAGTTAAGCAGCTTGTGGGTGAAAGTAATTGCTCAGAATAATTTCAGACACTGTAATTTAAAGATCAGATTCAAAATATCTACAAAGCACTTTACAGTCACACCTAAATCTTCCCATCGTCAACTCCAGTCATAAAACTGGATACACGTAACATTCTGCAACGTCGTGATTTTCTGAAGACAGAGTTTTCCCATTTGAAAGAGACTGTCTTCACTGCTGAGAACCATTTAAATATCTTGTGTTAACTTTCTTTTCAGCAGCAATGGAAATTCTGCTTCTCAGAACAGTTAAAAGCACCAGCATGCATATTACATGAAAACTCCCCAAAGTACTGTGATTTTTGTTGAGAATGGAAAAAAGCCTTCTGGCATTTTTCATTCCATTCTACAGAATGCAAGATTTGCTGTTGTTTGAAAATAAAAGGAAGAATGCTTTTCTAAAACCATCCAGAAAAAGTCTTTCTCCTACAAGAAAGGACACAAAAAACTACAAGATCTTCTCTCTATCTAGTTACAATATACAATGCTTAAGCAGTGCAATTTTATTTGGTTCTATGCCTTACACATGGGTTCATGCATACAACTACACCTCTCAGCCACCAGTGACTGACACTCAGATCACTAAATAGCAAGATATCAGGGCACAAACCCCACCATTTATCAAGAGAGAAGTGTGCTCCCTCATCATTCTCAATAAAGGCCAAGCAACAGTAGTCAGAAATTACAGACTCCCTCATCCCTGTCAGTTGCACCAGACTCTTGCTGGAGACGCATCTGTGGAAAAATGAAAGGGAAACTTCTGCTGCATTGTCCAAAATCAAGACTCAAGCCAACTTAAGACTTCCCTAAGAAATGCTAATCCTGTGCTTACTTATTACTCTTAAAAGCATTAAACCAAATACTAATGATGTTGCTCATCATCTCTCCCAGCTCCCCCATACAGGCATAAAGAAGTGCTATTTTCATATTACCTTATTTTATTTCTGAGTCAATAATTATTATCTTGTTAATAACAAATTCTGTCAAAATATGGCACTCAACTCACCTAGGCAGTAAGACTGACTTTAAATATGCCAATCTAAATATATATTTACACAAGCGTAAGTGACATTTACTTTAATGCTGTAAATTATTATATATCTTAAGTAAACATATTTATATGCCTTCTTTACAACAAATTTCTAATCCTGTTGAAAAAAAGCAAACCTGAATGTGGAGACATTTCTATGTCAATAACATTAAGATTATGAAAATAGCAAGAGATAAGACTTAATGTGAGCCCACTGTGCTCATTTTTGTTTGCTCATTTCATCAAAGCATGCACTGAAAGACAGAATATATCATCATCTCCATAGCTGCCTTTCTGGATACTGTTAATTGACACAATGCAATAAACCCAGCAACAATCAATAGTATTTTGAAACCAAAAAAAGCTTTTTAGTATATTTACAGTAACACAAAAAGATTATTTGAGAAAAGTTAGCCTTACCCACAAATTTCCATCATTTTTTTGCACAGCCTCCTATCTGATCACCATTTGCACCATACTGTAATGAAGTAGCTGGATACACCAGGCTTAAAGATTACCGCTGGCACTGCAGAGCATACAGGAAAAGCCTCTCCTGTACCTCTGTGACACTCCTTTTCCTTCTTCCTCTGTAAGTGGTATAAATGTAGGGACAGTCTCTTTCTAAGGAGCTCCATCAGTCCTTATTGCCAACACTACTTCATTCTTATTTTAACTGACTCTGTAACACAGCCTTGGGACGCAACGCGCCAAAAGCTGTCTGCTCCCTATTACCAATCCCAGTGCTGAGAATCCAGATTAAGCTGTGTTTAGAATTCACATACTACTAGCAAAGAGACTGACTGTAAACTAGCAGGTCCAGTATGTAACAATTTAGCTATATATCAAGTAATTTAGTGCAGAGTAATTCAAAAGTTCTTGCATATCTCTGCAAAATATTTCTCCAAATAAAAATGCAATGCAATAAACCAAAATAAAGCATTAGTTGCATCTCTCCCTTCATCAAATTTGTTTTATTTTTTTCTTGTCCTTTTATATAGAGATGAAGGATCAGTAAGAAAAATGGTAAAAATAATTTGTTTAAAAGATGGCATTAATATACCTGCAATAAATAAGCACCACTGTTCATTGCATTAAGAATCAATGCTACAAATATGCTATTCATACCTTACATTTCTGTTGGTCTGCACCCCCTTGTTTAATGTCATTACTTACAACTGTATTCTTTACAGAAAGGTCACGAAACTTTGTTCTTTCAGGTCCACAGAAAGTTTTGCAATTCAGAGACTTAAAGAATATTTTTTTTATATTCCTTCACATACCATCAAGACCATTATGATGGCTGTAGTTTCTTTTTCCCAAAATACTTAGTGAAGAGTGATTGGAGGGTGCAAGGAGTCGTTTCGCACTTGGACTTTGAAGGCTTGGTGTTGACCTGATTACATTGGGTTTCACTGTAGGATGAATCTCTGTTTGAGACAAAAGAGAGAGAGATCTTACATACTTAATTTAAAAATAAATAGTCTATTCAACATTAAATTTACATTTCTAGTGAAAGAGAAGAACATTTCTTCAGCATGAGCGTGTTTACAGGACCTTGAATAACAACTCAAACACACGTCTTCATACCCACAGTCCTTCCAAATAAGAAAAATCTACTTCACTTTAGCTTGCCTGAGTTTAATACTATGGTGTAGACATGTAAGGATTTCAGAGACTGAAGAGATAATACAAATCAATCTGAAACAGGTCTGTATTTACATTTTCCTACCATTTTGAGGTTTGTATTGGAGCTACACACCTACAGCTTTTTAAGCAAGCAAATAAAAGCATTTTAGTATAGTGAAATCACCTCAGTACCTCAAGCTATTCAGTATTTTCTGTCACAATAACAAGTTTCAAGGGATCTTCCCAAACACAAGTCACCAGGTGCAAGAAGTCAGGGAGCCAGCCACAGCAGGGCTCTGAAGCTAAAACCACCCCAAAACTGCAGCAGGAACACAAAAATTGTTAAGGCTGCACAGGGTTCCCCAGGTACTGCTGGACTCCCATACAGAGTCATTACTGGGGAGCTTCAAACCTCATGGGGTATCTAATACGGTTCATGGAGTAGGATTATTTTGGAAAAGGAGGAAGAAAGGTAAGAGGCAGTGAAACGCATCTGGCCTGCACACTGCAGGGTGGCACCTGCTGTGTTTGCCAAAAGCTGATACCATTGTGTGGAAATTTCTCAGTTATCTGCCAGATGAAAGCGGCAAAAGGAAGCCTCAGTAGAGTCTGCTTGTTCTTCACCAGGAGTTTGCTGAAGCAATTAACTTATTCCCATCACACATTTGGGTTCAAAAAGCCACCACTGCGTACGTCCTCGGACAGACCCAAATTTGCGAGGGAAGGCAGATGGCCCGAGGGCAGGTCCCCATCCCTCTGACACAGCCACAGGGCACCCACGGCTGGCACCGTGCAGTTTGTGAGGCGCTCGCAGCCCGATTACGGCCGCCCACCCGATTGCCCCACGGAGCAGAAGAGACCTCTGGGCTGAGAACATGAAGGCAGAGGGGCTGGGAGATGGATCAGGACAGTCAACTGTCCGAGGGGAGTAAGAAAAGATGGAAAAAAAAATTCATTTTGCACCCCCTGAAGTGAAAGCGCTCCCTTCTGCTTTTTTTTGTGAAATAAAGCGTAGAAGCTGGGAATATGCAAAATCTAAAGTGAGGCCGTGCATCCAAGGAGGAGGCCCCGCAGCCTCTGCTATTCGCAGCCATCATGCAGGAGAAACCGAAACCACTGCACAAAGCCTAAGTCCACTGCGACAGCAGATTTTTCCTCTTTCACAAACGTCAAGGAAATCTGATATCCAAGCGCTCGCCTGTCCACCGGTTTGGTCTGAGCTTGCAACCATACTCTTCAAGCATGAACGCCCTCATCCAAGATGCTTCAGGAGGGTCAGATTCGAAAGAGTAGAGTAGGGCAATGCACCAGGCAGGCGTTAGAATAGCACAGAGCTAGGGTCATTGCTGCAGGGCAGTCCTGAAGATCTGGGGGGGGGGAAGTGGGGGGGTGAGGGGTGCGTGAAGGCCAGTTTGATGCCACCGATCTCACACTTACTTAGATGAGAGCTTTTTACTGCCATTCACTGCAGTACTCATCTGCTTTTCATATAAAAGAGTTTAGGAACGCCAAGCTCCCAGCAGATTTCATGGCACGGCCCAATTTTCATGCTGTAGAGAACAAGCGTCTATTTTGCATTTTTACTAAAATGGGAACAGAAGTGTGCTTAAAGTTATGAACACCACTGATTGCTAAAGCAGAACTTCCAACTGAAATAGAAAGGTTTGCACTCTTTGCTGAAGATGATTGGGATTTGGATTTTAAAATGCTCATTTAGCAATCTTTTCCAATTTTCTGAAGGAAATGATTAATTTTCAGGGCTAACATCACTAAAATATTATCTTATTTGCCAAAGAGCTCCAGCAGCATCCACAATAATCCCAGCAGCTGGATCAACATACGAGAACTTGTAAACTGCTTCTGTCTACAGTGTATAGGAGATATAATTTTATATTTTCAGCGAACAGTTGAAGAAGGAAGCATTTCCTTCCTTCGACTTTTCTTCAGTCTGGAGGTCACTAATCCTCCATTAGTTTACTGCAAAGGCTGTCCTTTCTCTTTCTGCAGTAGAGGAAGGTAGCAAGATGAAGCTGCTCTTTTATGTTCTGGAAAGGAACTTAATTAAACAGCCACGACCACTTCCCAATGGATTGAGTCCTTTCTGTGGGATCTTTACACTGTGCGCTCACTCATCCTCTACATACAGACTTGCTTCAAGTATTTGCATGCTTTAGATCAGCACTTTCTAACTAGCTGCTTCATCACCCCTGAGAGAGGTAATGAGGCATTTCAGGGGTTTTGTCTGAATTATATTATACCATCATATTATTGTATTACGGAATAATAGTAATCGGGAATCTTTTAATTCCTGATGTTCTATTGCCTAGTACTTCACTGAAAATCTCCTGGCCACCTGCACCTTCTGCTAACTCAGAGAACTAACTATAACATCCAAATAATCCAAATTCTCCCTTTAGCCACACAACAAATAACCAGTTGGCCGGATTCAGATTACAAGATCATTTCTGAAATAAAAATACAACAGGAATAAGAATCAATACTTGAACAACCTATTAGGAACCTTTATTATAAGACCAGGTTGCAGCCTCAAGCAAGTAATTCACAATAAGAACTCTAAAAACTTCTATTTCCACTAATGTCACTAGGGTTTTAAAAAAAAAAAAAAAATTCAAGGCAAAGAAAGAAAAGTCAAAGTCTCCTACTGAGTCACTTAAATAAGCATCCGGGATTCCAGAGGTGCTTAAGCAGCTGCACCTCTCTCTCATCTCATCTCCTCAACATGCATCCCAGCTGGAAATGTTAGCCTGGTTTCCTCATAACTAGAAGGTAATATAGGACATTCAATTAGCCAGGGGTTCCCCTTAGGGGGTTAGTTCAGTAAGCACAGTGGTGGCTGAAGAGATTACAGGGGATTAGCCCCAGCTCTCTAGAAGACAGGGCCTACTTTTAGTGCTTAACCTACCTCACCTGAGGAACTGGCAGCCAAGAAGCAGAACAGGGATAAAGGGAAGCAAGGACCCAGGATGTGCAGGGCACTGCAATCCTCTCTGCCTTACCAGGAGGGCTGAAAACAGTAGTGTCCTGAGAGACACAGTTAACTGTATTCCAATAAATGTCTGTGGGAATGGCATGGAAAGAATTTTAAGAAGAAAATAAATACCTCCTGTATAAGCTATGACATGATAGTTAATGCTAAATTTTATGAGAAAAATATCCAAGCATAACTTATTCACTGGAACATGCAAACAAACATCCCAAACAAACAAAAAAACATCACAAACTAAACTAAAAAAAAACCCCACCAAGCTAAATGGCAAACAAAAAGCCATTTTCTAGCCATCCTTATACAGCTAATTCAGATGTACATCCATAACTACACTGGATACACTCCATATCCCTGCAACACATATTATTTACCTTCAGCTGTAGTGAGATACCTTCACTTCCCATACAGCAGACTCTACAGATGCTTGGTATATTTTAGCACTGTTAATCTTCTACAAAACCTTCACCTAAGTACACATAATGTTGCCTGACACTGTTCATCCACTTATTCCCATTAAACCTACAGACTTATGCTCCCAGAGGTATCAAGACAACCCCTCACCAACTAAATAACATGGCACTAAAAACATGCAGTATCTTCTAAGATTACACATGCTGCTGTTTCTTCTTTTGACTACCCAAAGGGGTCAGCTGGATGAACCATCCATCTCCTGCCAGATTCCCCCCCTCACAACCATAGAATCATAGAATCATAGAATCATCTAGGTTG